AATATAGAATCATTAGCTAAAACAAAATGAAACAAAGTACTTCTTTTTATTACTTAAAATAATATTTTATAGCACTCTAATACAATTGACTAACTGTACTAATAGTCAATTGTAAGAACATTTTTAAAAAGCACTGTAGAAAACTACTCTTTTAGTAAAATCTAAAATTTGAAGATACTGTTTTATAGATGAAGATTGTTGTTTCATGCTTTGCGTGTTAATATTCTTCTTTGTTTTGAATTTAGGTTTTCCAGTATTTAAACATAGTTGACTTGGCAAGGTGTGCTCAGGTTAGCCAACATTGGAAGGCCATGACACAAGTGGGGTTAGTATGGAGTCATGTAAGTACAGATCCTTGAAACCAAATTTTAACCATATATTTTTTAAAAATTCAATCGAAGAAAGCTGAAGTAATGAATGATGATTCTTGTTAAATAACCCATCATCCTAAAAATGTAGTACTGCTGTGACTTCACTTAGAATTTTCATACATGCACTTCTAGTCACCACATCTTCAAAAATATATTGTAGAAAAGATTTAGAAAGGGACTATAAAAATTACTAGGGGGTTAGGGCAGCTCCTCAACAAAGAAAGACTACAGAGTTTGGAGGGATTTAACTTAGAATAAAGACAGGTTAAAGGGGACATTATAGAAATATGCAGAACATTTAAAATATGAATACAGTAAAGGGAACATTTTCTCCCTTTCTTGCTGTATTAGAACAAGTTTCCTCTACTGAAATTAAATGCAGAGAGATTTTAAGTTGAATAAAAATAAGTACTTCTTTATTGTCAGATTCTGTACTTATTCCACATTACAGAAACTAGCCAGTTTTGACAGCAAGCATATGTTGAAAACTAGAAAGCCTCACAACTAATTCTATTTTAAGTATTATTTCAAGCCATAACGTGCTTTATTTGGTTGGGCTGAACCTAGCTATTTTACCTTATAACAACTCAGGTTAAAACAAGGTGGCTTAGCGTGATGTGTGGAGCCAGCCTCTCAGGGCTTATGAATGTGAATATGAACCATCAGCTTTATATTGGAAATAATGAGAAGTTTGAATGTTTAATCTGTTATAAATTAAGTCCTTATATTGCTCTGTGGAAAGTATGATGGTGTATTGGTCCAGATATTAACAACGTTGCTGTTCACCAACCATTGTCTCAAAATGAATGTATTCATCTTTCATTGCTTCAAATGTCTTTGTCATTTTTGCTGCAGCTAATTAAGATGGAGATTCCCTAGAAATAAGGAGAATGTGGATGATTTTTTATAACTAATGTGCACAGGCATATGTAATGTATAATTTTGGCTCCTATATGTGCTTTGCTATAGACAGTATAAGTATCAATCCGTCAGGTCAGCCCGAGCTTCAAAAATGATTCAGACAGAAGTGGTACTTTGGACTTGGCACAACACAGTCTTGCTGTGCTATTCATTAAAAACTTTGGGTGAACCCTGAAAAAAAAGATGTCTCTGCTTCAAAAAGTATATTTATTAAAATTAATAAGCCATTTTTTTTCAGATACACCTTTCCTATTGTTGGTAGTAGCCAGTAAAGACTATTTCAAGACAAGCCAGGCTTTTGATGACTACATAGTCATATCCATGTAGTTTTATTAACAACTCTTAAGAAAATGGTTTGGTATTGCTTTCTTCCAGGATCTATTTTTCAGCTTTCCAACCTGACCTACATCGCTGCTATATCCTGTGGTCTTCCATCCCAGGACTAACCTTGCTAAGGGCTGTCGTCTGCTATAGACATTGTCAGGGTACTTCCATATACACCCTCGCCTTGGTTAGTGACCATATTCCATTCCAACAACTTGGTTGTTAAGTGAAATGGTTGCTAAGTGAGCACATGACTGAGAGAGATACTGCAAAGATCACTGGTTGCTGCCGTCTCATTCAGATAAAGTTCTCTCATACAGTGTTCTGTGCCTGACATTTTTTTCCCCTTTTTTTCCCCTTCTTGCAAGGGTGGAGAGATTGCTTAAACAAGCTATCTCTTTCTGAGCTGTTTTTCTCTGCAGTGCAGCGTTTCCCTAAATAGTGCTAACCGCAAGTTGACAAGCTCAGCTCTGTGATCTTAAGTAGTTAATTAGAACCCTCTGGCCTGATGGCGCTGCTGCCTGAAACTGACCAGAACTTAATCAGTTTCACACTGAAGGCTTCTGTTGCCAGGGGCATGACTGTATGGGTGACTGTATGGGTGAAATATTGTAGTCATTTGTCATTTCTATAGCAATGTTGTTTTTTTTTTAGATTAATTTTTCTGCAGTGAAAGACATTATAACAGATAATGTGGCACAACACATTTTGCAGAAATGGCGCACTAATGTGGTGCATTTGAACCTTCATGGTTGTGCTATACTACATAGGCTTACTTTTAAAAGTATAGGTGAGTATTTCATTTTATTGCCTTTTCTTTTTCTTTCTTTCTTTCTTTCTTTCTTTCTTTCTTTCTTTCTTTCTTTCTTTCTTTCTTTCTTTCTTTCTTTCTTTCTTTCTTTCACTTAACATTAAGAAACAGACAACTGATTTATAACCATATGAAGTAACTTGCGTTTAGTTTACAAATTAAACAAATAAATGCTAACTTTCTTATAACTGCTGGGTTCCAGACACCCAGCTCTGGCCGATAGGATTAGTACGGAGGTGGACAACATGTGTTCCCTGAGTTCCTTTTTGTAGCCCTCAAGACCTCTCTGACTTGAACTGCTGAAGGAACAGTTCATTTTATGGCGGGAAGCAGATGAGATCTTTGTTTTAAGTCCTAAAATAAGCGTATTTTTCTTAAAAAACAAAGGATCCCCTTCCATTCCTCCAACACAGCCCTGCCTACATATGCTCTGGTCCCAATCATCTGGCAGTCCTCAGCTCCCCTAAAGGTTAAGTGTGACCCTTGGCCACCAAAATTCCTTACAAGCTGTCCGCCAGTAGAAAATGCTGCAACGTGAAGTAGTGAATTTTCCTTTTGCTGCACTTCTTCAAACAGAGGTTTGACTTGATTAACTCTGTGATTCTCTGATAAAGGGTAACTGTTTTCCCAAAGTCCTATTTTTGCAGCCTGTAAAACCTTCTGAAATGGCAGTGGTGAAATTTAGTAGTAAACCGCCAATAGACAAGGACACAATTGAATATTGTATTTCTATAAATCATAGAACAAGGAGAATATGTAAAATTAGCAGAACAATCACCCAACAAAAAAAAAAGGAGAATCCAAAATTGCCAACTTGCCTCACATCTCATCACTGTCCTGCATGCTATTATAGCTGACAAAAAAGCTTTGGGAAAAAAAGCGTTTTTTGCTGCCACATGGTTTTCCATCACTGGACTTAAGAGAGGGCAACATGGATCAAAGGTGGGAATTTGGGGCTTGGACTCATATGTTACATTAAACTACAAAGTGGTTTGTATGGCAATGGTTTGGTATTGTAGGAACCCAGACACATGATTTATACATAGTATGTTATATGAACCAGCTAATTCTTCTTAATTAAATAACTCCAGTTAGTAGCACAGTGTGTGAACTCAGTCATTCTCTCTCTGTTCTAACTTAGTATAACCTAGGTAGATACATTTTTTGTTCTGCCTGTCTGGCATTCCTGTCTAATTTGCTGGAGGGAAGGGATGTTATCTTCCTTGTCGCAAATCCTTTTTCTGTCACAGCCTATATAGGAAAAGAGTTGCTGGCAAGTACAACGTGTGCCAATGTGTACCCTAGTCACTTTTCCCCCTTTAAATACAAACTGTTGCATTATTCTATATCATGTTATATAGAGGTAGTCTTTGTTTAGTGAGTGCCTCGTTTAGCAACCGTTCGCAGTTATGATGGTGATAAAAAAGTAATTTTATGACCAATTCTCGTATTTATGACCCTCGCAGGTCTGTAAAGCAAAGGAAAGCTGAAGTAAGATCATAAGCACAGTCACAGTTTCACTTAGCAACCCCTTTGCTTAATGACTGAGTTGCCAGTCCCAGTTGTGGTTGCTAAATGAGGACTACCTGTAATCTCATACATGTATCAATAGATTCAGTTATAGCAGTACTGGCTGTCATGTTTTTTAAATTAAAATTATAATGCAGCAACTTTTAACTCCATATACGTAATCAACTACCCAAACCCATGTTTTCTTTGCAGGAAATAATCAGAGAAAAGCTTGACCACACAATAACTTTTGTAACCTTCATTCAGTAGTTTTGTTCTGTTGGATGATAATGGCAACCTTACCATGAAGGATGAAACTGCTTGCAGTTTTGCTTTTATTGGTTATGTCAGCACTTTTTTGAAGGCAGTTATTGGGTGTAATTTCTTTGTTGGTGGGTGACATAGTGAATGCTTCCAATATAGTTATTAGAAGGGCAAGAGGTTATGTTGGTAGTTATACCAACTTCTCACATGTCACATTGCTATATAACCAAGGAAGCCATGGTGATAGTGAAGGATGTCCTTCAAACCTAGATTTTTTGCTTTTAAATATCTGGTCAGTAAATGGAGGACATCCCTCACAGAGTACTTAATTTTGGATGACCTATTACCTATTAAGAGGGGAGCATGGGCTACCCAGGCTGTCTGCTGGGTTGCCCCTTTGTCATGACCATCCCAGACTTTTACTCTGCAGAGGAGGATGAGATGTCTAAAGTTTATGGATCTTCTCTTGCTTAGAACCCAGACCCTAGCATGGAACATGGAGAGATTCCAATCCCTTTCATCTCTAAAACTCTTGCCTACTCGAGTTTCTGTTCCTGAAATGAGACTGCAACTTTCCAAGTTCATGGGAGACTTTCCCCTCCTGTGTTGAGAATCAGACAACAGAACAACATAGATGTGCCAGATAATGAAAAATTATTGAACACTGGCTGAGCCTCCTATAAAAACATAGAATGAATACTAGTCAAGTTGTTGCATCAGTCTCAGTGACCTGTCCTTGGCACCTGAAATCTCAACTTCATGCCTTGCTTGTAATCTCACTACACCTTTTGCCTGACCCTTGGGCTCCTGATCCTGTGTTGCTTCCTTTCAATCTTGACCGTTCTTTTCCAAAAAAACAACAACCCCACCCTGTTACTGACATGTGTTCCCTATCCTACCCAGCTAAGTCATTCTCTCCCTGACTCTCTTCCTCTGATTCTGAGGGACAGAATAATTGGCTTCCTGACTTTGTCTTCATAGATGGAGGCACTGGTACACAAAAAACAGAAGATCAAACTGGGTGGCTGTTTATACTGTCCAAATTCAACTAACCAAAACTGGGAATTAATCAGCCCTCTACCTGTGCCTGCTAGGCACAAATGCCTAGAGCTCTGCCCAAGAATTCGGAAGAATTTCTGGCATTTTGGGGGCAGTGCATGATATACGTGCAGGGTTGGGAAGAACCTTATGTGAATGTCAGTGCTTGTATTGGCTTTATTATTAGTCTGCTGAGGATCTGCTATTAAATGGGTCAATCTGATTATGCTAGAACAAAGCTCACATTAGTCATAGATTTTGCATGGTTTGTAGGAAAAAGTAGGCTGGTTTTTGAGAAAACAGAGAAAGCAGCATAGCCAGTTCGTAAAATATGGAGTACTGTGTCAAGGATAGCATCGGTATTTCTGGTGTTAGTGTGAACTTTAACTTTGCATGAAGCAGTGAAGACCTATATCAGCTTGCAGGGGAAATTTAGTTATGCCTAGGGAGAGACACAGAAGCGGGGCTAGCAACAAAACCCACCTAGAGCATAGAATAGAATGAAGCTTGCCTTCCAACCAGCACTTGCAGAACCAATTACAAGAGCAGATCCAATCCAATCCAATCCAACCAATTTTTATTACTATCGTAGACCGGGATAGAGAAAAAGAACACCTGTACTTTGGGGGCTAGATATGCCTCTCAGAGGAAGAAAAGACAAGCAGCACAAGCGGAAATGGTATCTTCCCTAAAAGGAAGACCTGTGCAGACAACGAGGTATCCCACCTCATCCTGAAGCCAAGCCAAAACCTTGCTTCATTGGGGTTAAATAGAATGTTATCTGGGAAGCTATGGCAAAATTAAACATACTCAGATTGTTTTATGAGTAATACACTTCTTATTTCTGTCAGCCAAAATGTTCAACACTTTTTTAGAGTAGGATCAATGATTGATGTCTCAGGATGCTGGATATATTTTCCCTCTGATTGCGACTTTTGAGGCTATATTATTTTTCTTCCTTTTGTAACTTTTTCTATTTGCTGTTGAAATGGTTGTCTCTGTTTTATGTTTATTTTTTCACTGATTCTGTCTTAAATTTAAATGAATTTTTTGTATTCATATCTAGTATTACTATAAATCTTTGATTTAACTTTTCAGAAATCAGTTTCCGTCACCCTTTTTGGGTTACTGCAAATGTTATGAAAAAATCAAGAGTCTGGTAGTATCTTTTCTGACTAACTGATTTTATTAAAAGGCATCAACCAAAGAATGAATGAATACAAGTTTGATATCAGGACTCAAAACAAGGACAAAGTAATGTCACAGCATTTCAACCTCCCAGGCATACATCAAAGTGACAATTTTGGAAAAAGGAGTCTTTAATAGCCCCATTGAGAGAGAGCTTGCTGGACCCACATACTGTACATCAAAAGGTTTCAGGCAATCTCAGAAGGTCTCAACAAATAAAGTGGGTTTTTAACACATGTTAATTCTGTCTCACACGTAACCTAGATTTGTGTAAGTAACCTGTCTTCCCTTCCCCCTCCACCCTGCTTCACTCTAATTTAAATCCAACATCAGTTTAGTTACTCTGTGTATCAGATGAAGTGAGCTGAAGCTCACAAAAGTTTATGCCTTTAAATAAAATTTGTTAATTGGAAAAGTTGCTACCAGACTCCTGATTTTTTTGCCACCTTAGACTAACACAGCTCTCCTCCTACAATGGAAATGCTATATTTAGAGACACCGGGGAAGCTAATCAGTCTTCACTTTACATTTTGGGAACAGTGATAAAAATTTCTCCATTTTCTTCTGGCAGTGCTTTGGAAATAAAGAGTATATGAAAATGGTGATGAAGATGATAATAATATGTTTACATTTACCTTCAGGAAATACAATATACAGAGTATACCAAAAGTCAGACCCCATAGGCCAATCACAATATGTTTTATTAATTTTTTTTAGAGAAAATGTTACTGAATTTAGGAATGTTCCAAGGCCGTGCATCAAACAAGTAAAGTTTTAGAAGAAAGTGACAACCAATTCCAACATTTAAAGTAATTTTATATAATAAATTGTCTGTGCTTGACTTTTGGTCACCCTTATTATTCAATTTGAAAAATTATTTATTTGAATGTTGTTAAAAATATTTGCATTTGTAGTTATTCGTAGTTTATTTTGATTCCTTTCCATTCTGTGATGGAATAGTGGCCTGAGATAGACTTAAC